GGAAGGAAGGAAGGAAGGAAGGAAGGAAGGAAGGAAGGAAGGAAGAAGTCACTTGAGCAAGTGCCCTTAAAGTGAATTGTGGGACCTACTTTTTTTTTTTTTTTGCCTCTGATTGGTTCCTGGTCACTATACGGGTAGCTTTGCTCCATGGATGTGCTCACTGGTTGATGTACTGCCTCAGCCCAGGCCTAAAGCCAACTTATCACAGACTAAAACTGTGAGGGGGATGAACCCTCTTCTGTCCAAGCTGATTTTCTCCTATATGTGTCGTGATGAAAGGAGAGCAGACGCGGTGGCCAACACCATCTGTCCGTGGTTCTGCGTGTTTCCTTCCCCTTTATTGTGGTCACCCTGCAGTCCTGTAACCTAACCAGTCAGCTCCTCCACCTTCGTCCCAGCGGTGACACTACAGCAGCCTCCTGCCTGGCTCCTCCATGTTCGTGTACAACTCCACCCTGTTCTTCTCTTCCAGGTCCGGGCAGCAACCTTTTAAATGTGTTGTCAAATCCTGTGTCCTTCACTGCATCATCTCCCATAACTTCTTATTGCGGGTAAATTGAAATCTGTCCTTGTATAGTCCCCGCTCATTTCCGTCCAGTCACTGTGGTCCCAGTTCATTTCCTATCTCCTAAATACACCACATATTTTCATGCAAGCCTCCATACTTACTTATTTCCTTAATTGGCCAATTGCCTGTCCTCCTTCCTGCTTCAGTTTGTCCCTGTTTCCTAAATGGAGTCCTTTTTGTGTCCTGAGTGAGATCATACTAGCTGACCCTCTGCCCTCTCTAAACTACTATATTGCATTTGTTGCTTTCACAGCATTTAGCAAGGAGAGAAAGTATGCTTATTTGTTGCAGCACCAGGAAATTGACATATAATAAATTTACTGCCCAAAAGCCTTCAGAGAGGAGCATATTCAACCCTGCCCCTTTCATCAGTGATTAGAGGTTAGGCTACTCATACGATAATCCTTGTGCCCTTAGCCATGGTTTCAGTAAAAAACCAGCATCCCAGGACCTTCTGTATGTTTGTGGGTATGTGGTAGGAACATCTGTAAAGTACCTGGTTGGGGATGTGGCTTTGCTGGAAAACAAAAAGCAAGCAAACAAAACAAACCACACTGTCAAGATTTAAACTCTTATCTTGTTTATTATTAGCTGAGTATCAGGCACAGGCATGTTGTGCAGGAATTAGAAAATATTTGATGAATGAGCAAAAGAAACATACAATGAGTAATGAGGAAGCACCTGGGTGGAAACCAGGGGCAATTTAGAAAGGTTTTATTTATTTATTTATTGGAAAAAGATCTTGACACTGGCCCAGAAACCAGGAGTGAGTGGGGCCTCTTTTTAGTTCTGAAACACTGTGTCTGAAAGAAGCTAAAGGAGAAAGATGGTCACGTGTATTCCCCCATCACAAAGGGCTTCTTCCAAGGTGTCTTCATATATAACGTGTGTGAGCCTGGTGTGGTCTCATCCTCAGCTTTGAGACTTTACTTAAAGACTTGATGTGCACCGTCTCTCAGATAGCTGTCTGCCATCAATCAGAGGGCCGTGGTGTCCGAGGAATGCCCTAGGATCCTTTGAGAGCTGTGCCCAGTTACCCGGAACACCAAGAACACCTTCATTCTGTCTTGTTTTTCTGAAGCCAGGATCACAGTATGTTCTGCTTGGTTTTGGCAGCAGGGGTGATAATGAGGTTGTTACTGCTGTTAGAAGGTCACCATTGCTAATGTCCATGGCATCGTGATCATTTTTGGAATGCTTCTAAATTAGGAAACTGAACGTTGCCCAAAGGAAACAGATGAGCTAAATCTAGAAGGGAATGACGAGTCCTGATGCTTGAAGTACTCATCAAGCCCTTAATCAGATGATCGAATTCAGCTTTATTTCTTTTCTTGGTCTGCTTTGGATTTCACTCTGCTTATTCTGTAGTCTAAGGCTGACCTGCAACTTTTAGTAGTTTTCCTGCCTCATCCTGCAAACTATTGGAATCCCAGGTGTGAGTCTCTACACCCAGCTTGAAATTCTTCTTCTGAGGGTTTCTTGTTGCTGTAGAGGATTTATCCTGGAGTTTCTAATAGCAAACTAATTCATGTCATAAGTATAAACTCCTTGGATTGATGCCATTGCTATGTAAAAATTACAAGTTTTGGTTTCAGAGTATTAAAAATTTTGTAAAGTGAGGGGAGGGGAGGTGAGCCAATGGTTTAGTTACTTGCCACGTAAGCCTGAAGACCTGAGTTCAGTCCCCAGATCAGTGAGAAACAGCCAGATACAGTAGAGCACATCTGTAATCCTGGCACTGGGGAGGAGGAGACAGGGCTCCCTGGGGCTTCGCTGGCTAAGCAACCTAGCCAAACTGGAGAGCTCTGGGTTCAATGAAAGCCTTTGTCTTTGTCTTTAAAAAAAAAAGTGAGTAACTAGCTGGTAAAGTGAGTAACTAGCTGGTAAAGACTTTGCTTGATTAAGTCCCATCTGTGGATACTTGAGACTCATTCATGTGCCGGTCCTATTCTGTTCCGAATGTTCTTGTCTACTCCAGTGTCTTGATTTCATCTACAAGTTGCTTCTTATACAAGGAGAAATACATGAATCTAATCTAATACCTTTGGCTGCTAGAAGCCCAGTTTTCCAGAACCATTTATCAACTGGGCTATCTTTTCTCTGTGTTTTTGTCTCCTTTGTTAATAATTGTGAAGGCATAGCTTTCCTGGTTTATTTTTGGGGTCCTCTATTCTATTCTATTCAGTTGCATTGATCTACCAGTCTGTTTTTTACCCCAGCACCAGACTTTCTTTATCACTACAGCTCTGTAGTATAATTCAAGGCTGGATATTGTGACAGCGCTACCTGTATCCTTACCCCTTAGAATCATTTTGGCTATTTGTGGTCTTTGGTAGTTTGATAAGAATTCTAGTTCTCTGAGATACGACATCAGAATTTTGACAGGTATTACAATATGTCTGTTATATTTAGAAAAGGAGCTATATTAGTTTGGGGATTGGTGTGATAAAATATTATGGCCAAGGCAACTTAATGAAGAAAAGGTTTATTTTGGCTTACAGTCCCAGAAGGATAAGAGTTCATCATGGTGGGGAGGCACAGCAGCAAGCAGAAGGCATAGTGACAAGAGGAGGAAGCCTGAAGCTCTTATCTTCAGCCTCAAACACAAAGCAGAGAGAGAGAGAACTGGACATGGGGTGAGATAATAAACACCCAAAGCCCTCCTCAGTAACATGCTTCCTCCAGCAAGCCTCCACAACTTAGACTTTCCTAACAGCACTACCAGCTGTGGAACAAGAGTTCAAATAGTCGAGCCTATGGAGAACACTCCTATTCAAAGGATTATAGGATCTGGATATATATAAAGAAGTGCAAAAATGAAATACCAAGAAAATAAAGTTGCCAGTCAGCAAGTAAGCTGATGAACTGAATGGACAGTTTCGCAAAAAGAAATCTGAATGGACATCAACTGTCTTTAAACATGTTTATCATCCCCAGTCATCAAGAAAATGCAAATTAAAACTATTTTGAAATAACATCTCACGTCATCAGAATGATTATCATCAAAAAAATTGACAAGAAATAATAGAGATGAGGAAAAGGAGGAACTTTTATTCACTGCTGATAAGAATAAAAATAGCCACTTTGGAAATCAGTGTAGAGGTTCTTCGAAAAATTACATATAGAACTATCATATGACCCGGCTGTTTCACTCCTGGGCTTCTAACCAAAGGACAATATGAGTACTCCCATGGTTATTTACTAGAGCAAAGAAATAGCACGAGTATAGTTGTCAATCAACAGGTGATGGATTATTAAAATATTGTACATATATAAAATAGAATAGTGTTTAGCTTCAAAAGACATATAAATCACAAATTTTTCAGGAAAATGGATAGACTTAGATGCATATAATATTAAACAAATTTAATCAAATTCATAAAGGAAAATAAAAGTGAATGTTCTCATGTTCAAATTCTAGACTACAATGAGTACATGCATATATTTAAACAAACGCATATATTGTATAATATAACATTTAGAAAAGATAAAAGGAAGGAATAACAAAGCAAAAAGGATAAAATGTGTGCTAATGAACTTACAACATGGTATACTTCTCTCAAGGTCCTGAGTCACATGGAATGACATGCCAGGAATCTCAAAACATGGAGAAATTTGCTTTCTTCACTGTGTGTTATGATTCTAAAATGCATCATTTTTACTGAACAAACACTAAAATGTTTTAACTACCGTAAAATTCTCAATCTCTCATGTTATTCACATTTTCAGTATAGTTGAATTTATTTTAAAAAGAAAAGGTTAATATGCTATTAAAGATATAATGTGAAGAACAATTGGAGAATACACACAACCTTGATGTCTGGTTTCCACAGCCCCATGTACACACCACACATGATCATATAGACAGACAAAAAGTAGAAAACTTAAAGAAAAAATTCTTCAGCAACATTTACTGAAACTCATTGCTTGAATCATACTTTTCCACCAGTGCAATATGTTTGCCTCAAGTCACTAAGGAACTGAAAAATTATACATGATAGAGAAATTACACAAATGACTTCACTATTTCTCCATGGAGAGTATTCTAATTGCAACGATTTTAAAGTAATTTAAAGCAATGATTATTTTAAGGCAAAGTTTTATGCTGTTGATTACTCGTTCCTTACAACTCTCTCCAGGTTTATCTCGTCCCACTTTTCACGTATCACTCCTTGTTTTATCCGGGTTTCTGTGATGATTTCTTTTTCTTTTGTTCTCTGCTTCTTATTTTGTTTTTTACTACCTCATAAAGAGCAATTCTCTACATTCAATCCATTGCTTCTCTTGGGTTTTAGAGCTTTTGAAACTCTCATCTGCTGGTGAGATGGCTCAGCAGTTAAAAGAGCAGTGCATTGCTCTTGCTGAGGTGGGTCCCAGAAGCCACAGTGGGGAGGGTTAGGCACTCAGCTAGCAGGAAATCCAGCTTCATGGGATCCAGTTCCAGAGGACTGGACTCTGAAGCCTTCTTTTGGCCTCCACATGCATTACACTCACATATACAAACTCACACATAAACATAACTGTATAATTAAAAAATAATAAAATAAACCTCATCTGCTCACATAGCCTATAATTTAATTTTAAATATTGAACATAATGTTAAGTCAAAGTTTGCTGGATGGGTTTTGTTGTTGTTGTTGCTGTTTGTTTTGTTTTATATTGGTTATACTTCTTTTTTAAATTTATGCTTTTATTTTTCCATTCAAAAGTTTACACTTCCTCCCCTCCTCTCAATCTCCCCCTGATCCCCCACTCACCTCCCTCTCCCTGCTTAAGAGAGGGCAGGGAACACTGCCATGTGGAAAGTCCAAGGCCTTCCCCTCTACATCCAGGCCTAGGAAGCTGTGCATCCATATAGACTAGGGTCCCAAAAAGTCAGAACATGCCATAAAAACAAGTCCAGTTCCTTTATCAATGGCTTCTCAGTCAGCCCCTATTGTCAGCCACAATCAGAGTTCAGTTTGATCACATGCTTGTTCAGTCCCAGTCCAGATGGATTTGGTGAGCTCCCATTACAACAGACACACTGCCTCAGTTGGTGGACCAACCCCTCGCGGTCCTGACTTTCTTGCTCATCTTCTACCTCCTTCTGCTCTTCAACTGGACCTTGGGAGCTCAGTCTTGCTCTGATGAGGGTCTCTGTCTCTATCTCCATCTATCGCCGGACGAAGATTCTATGGTGATATTTGAGATAATCAGCAGCGTGGTAGTGGGGCATGCCAGTTCAAGCACCCTCAACTCTGCTGCCCAAGGACCTAGCTGGGGATATCCCGTGGACACCTGGTCTCCCCTCTAGAGTCAAGTCTCTTGCCAACCCTAAAATGGCTCCCTTAATGTAGGTGTCTTCTTCCCTGCTCCTATATCTGCCCTTTCTCCATCTCCACCCTCCCACTCCTCCAAGCTCTTGCCAGTCTTTCCCTTCTCCCTTCCCTCTCCCTCTCTCCCCTTCCCCCAACCTTACGCCTACTCCCCACCCCCATGCTCCCAACTTTTGCCTGGCAATCTTGTTTGCTTCCAATTTTTAAGAGGCTCTATAAATGTTTTTCTTTGGGTTCACCTTGTTATTTGGCTTCACTAGGCTTGTGAACTATAGGCTTAATGTCTTTAGTTTATGGCTAGAGTCCACTAATGGGTGAGTACATATCATATTTATCTTTTTGGGTCTGGGTTATCTCACTCAGAATAGTGTTTTCTATTTCCATCCATTTGCATGAAAAATTCAAGATGTCATTGTTTTTTTACCACTGAGTAGTACTCTAATGTGTATATATTCCACACTTTCTTTATCCATTCTTCCATTGAAGGACATCTAAGTTGTTTCCAGGTTCTGGCTATTACAAATAATGCTCCTATGGACATAGTTGAACAAATGCTTTTGTAGTATGATAGGGCATCTCTTGGGTATATTCCCAAGAGTGGTATTGCTGGATCCTGAGGTAGGTCGATTACCAATTTCCTGAGAAAACCGCCACACTGGACGAGTGTTCCCCTTACTCCACATCCTCTCCAGCATAGGCTATCATTGGTGTTTTTGATTTTAGCCATTCTGAAATGTGTAAGATGGTATCTCAAAGTTGTTTTGATTTGCATTTCCCTGATCGCTAAGGAAGTTGAACATGACCTTAAGTGTCTTTTGGCCATTTGAACTTCTTTTGTTGAGAATTCTCTCTTCAGTTTAGTACCCCATTTTTTAATTGGATTAATTAGAATTTTAAAGTCTAGTTTCTTGAGTTCTTTATATATTTTGGAGATCAGACCTTTGTCTGATGCGGGGTTGGTGAAGATCTTCTCCCATTCAGTAGGATGCCTTTTTGTCTTAGTGAAAGTGTCCTTTGCTTTACAGAAGCTTCTCAGTTTCAGGAGGTCCCATTTATTCAATGTTGCTCATATTGTCTGTGCTACTGGGGTTGTATGTAGGAAGTGGTCTCCTGTGCCCATGTGTTGCAGACTACTTCCCACTTTCTCTTCTATCAGGTTCAGTGTGGTCAGATTTATATCGATGTCTTTAATCCATTTGGACTTGAGTTTTGTGCATGGTGATAGATATGGATCTATTTTCATTCTTCTACAGGTTGACATCCAGTTATGCCAGCACCATTTGTTGAAGATACTTTCTTTCTTCCATTGTATACTTTTAGCTCCTTTGTCGAAAATCAGGTGTTCATAGGTTTGTGGGTTAATATCCGGGTCTTCAATTTGATTTCATTGGTCGGCATCTCTGTTTTTGTGCCAGTACCAAGCTGTTTTCAATACTGTAGCTCTGTAATCGAGTTTGAAGTCAGGGATGGTAATACCTCCAGAAGTTCTTTTATTGTATAGGATTGCTTTGGCTATCCTGTTTTTTTTTCCATATAAAGTTGATTATTGTTCTCTCAAGGTCTGTGAAGAATTTTGTTGGGATTTTGATAGGAATTGAGTTGAATTTATAGATTGCCTTTGGTGGAATGGCCATTTTTACTATGTTGATCCTATGGATGGATTTTTTTTATTGATAGATTTGGTTGCTCCGTTGTGATTTGGGGTTTCTGGGTTTTGTTTTCTTCTTTTGTTTGGGTTTGAGATATGGTTTCGCAGTGGCTTGAGACTCACAATGTGATACTACATGTAGGTTGACCTCAAACTCTTGATCTTATCTCTTTACCAAGAGATGGTATTACTTTACGGCTGTACCACCAAAGTTAAAGTAAACATAGTCAAATAACATTTGAAGGCACATCTGGAAATGGACACATTTCTCCTTTATTTCTTCACCACCTTTCCAGATCCAGCAAGTATCTATCTCTTCTATCCCTACCAACAAACCCCTCATTTCTTTGGATTATAGTGTTTAGATGGATACTGCCTACTTCTCCAATCTGAAGGCATGGGGACTTTGGCGTTATTCCCCCCTCTTGCTCAGTATGTTCTCATTCTAGCAGTATGTATGTCCATACAGTCTTCTCTACCTTTTCCTACATCTTCATTCCAGTCAGAAGGACGACCAGCTCCTTTCTGGTTTTTCTCAAGCTCAGACATCACTTAGTGTTCACAGAAACTAGGTTCTGTAGTTCTGAGTTACCAGCTCTTACTTTAAGGCCTTTTATATGTGATGTGACCTCTTTTGGATTAATGAAGTTTGGGGAATAAAGCAATGGTCCAGAGCTTAAGAGCACTGGCTTCTATTCCTGAGAACATGATTCAGACTCCACCACTCACATGGCAGGTCACAACCATCTGTAACTCCAGTCTCAGGGAGGTCCAACACCACCCTCTTCTGGCCTCTGAGGAAATTGTATACACATGGTGCACAGACATAGATGCACGCAAAACACTTACGCACACAAAATAGTAAAGTAATAACTTTAAAGGATTAATGAGACTTTAAATGACTCTTCATAACATCTAAATTATAGAGACCATATTAGGATAAAAAAATACAATAACAAGTGTATCTTTTGTTTAAAGAGTATATAAGCATTTGGGAATAAAAGTTTAAAGAGAGAAAGTGACTGGAAACCAAGGTTGCAGTGACTAAGTTCAGATTTAAACTCTGCCATTTGCTTTTTCCTGGGAAAGACATCTACATTCTTTTAGCTCTGATTTAGCTTTGATGATAATATTAGTACCTCACTCAAAGGGGCATTTTGATACCTACATAAAAATTGCATAAAAATTGGCCACCTAACTAGAAACAGTCATACTGAGTGAGGTAATCCATATCCAGAAAGACAAAAACAACATGTTCTCTTCTATTGGA